CTTAACAGGGTTTCTTACAGAGCAAAAGTTTTTAATTATCAATGACTCTAATTTATTGGTTGCCTTTTCAGTGTGGTGTCCAAGAGCTTTGTGCCTCACCTTCAGGTCTCAAAGCGTTCTTCCTATTTTGTCTCTAAAACTTTTATAGTTTTACATTTTACACTAAAATCTGTGATCCCTTTTGAGTTACTTTTTGTCTAAGGTGTGATGTTTGGAGTAGATTTTCCTTTTCTTTCTTTTTATTTTTGCCTACAGAGTCCAACTGCTCCAGCGTCATTTGTTGAAAAGATTATCCTTCCTCCATTAAATTGCTTTGGCACCTTTGTCGAAACCAGCCAAGCGTATTTGCGTGGGTCTATTTCTGGGTTCTTTATTCTGTTCTATTGATCTAGGTGTTTATCTCCATCAATACTGTGCTGTCTGGATTACTGTTGCCAGATAGTAAGTTTTAAAATTAGGTAGTATGGTTCCTCCAACTTTATTCTTCGTTTTCAAAGTTATTTGAGCTCTTTTAGTTCCTTTGCCTTTCCATGTACGTTTTAGAATCAAATTAATATTTTTCTTTAAATCGATGGTTACAACTTTATTTAGAAGAGAAACACATGGATTTGATATATGCCAGCTAGAGCTGTATTGTCAAAGTCACGTTAAAATAAAAATGTAACTATTACAATTTAAAAAATGCATCTGTGAACCATGTAAAATAATCTCATGAATCACTGGATCAGCCCAGGGCCTCATCTCCCAGCACCCCTGTATTGGGAGGAACATGCTACCATAGACTGCTGGCTGTGCCCCTTGGGGACACTCATGTGGCTCTGTCCCCTTGTCCAGTGCTGGCTCAATGGTGGCTGTCTGGCCCCACAGCAGTCACCTATGGGACAGCTTGCAGGTAACGACTTGGCCCAGAGGGCATTTTCTGCCTGTGAGGCCCCATAAGGATTAAGTGAACCCAGCAAAACCTCCCTGAGCACAGTCAAGTGACAAGTGGAGAGAGAGTCGGTAGCTGGTAGGGAAACAGGGTGGAAGCTGGGAAGCAGCACAGCCTGCAGCAACGGTGGGCGCCGATGGAAAAGAGCACCTGATTCCTCATGGTGGGGAATGCTTGAGCAGGCAGCTGCACCCAGTCTTGCCTGGCAGGAGCCCCAGAAGGACGGGGAACTGGACAATGGGCATTGGAGCTATCCTAGGTTCTGAACAGCCTTCTTCCCTCTGCAAAGGGCCTGGAGTCCGTGGTTGAGCTGGCTGTGGCTGGTGTCCTCTTCCTCTTCAGCAGCCCGTCTGCCCCCCATATTTTAGGTAGCGTTTCCAAGCCTGGGACTTTTGGGATTCATAGCCACGGTGGAGCACAAAATGACCTCAGGGTGCAGAGAAGCTGGCCTTGCAAACCACACATTGCAGAATGGGCCAGCCACCCCCTTTCCAAGGATCTCAGCCAAGACCAGTAGGTTGTTAACACCTGGCCCTTCCTAACCGCCTTGAACAAAAAGGAGAAGCCTCGGGTTTAGAGCGTTTGATGAGTAATACCCTCCAGCTAGAATTTAATAGTACTGTTCTGTCTTCATTGCGGGTTTTGACAGTAATTGGCCCACCTATATTTTCCTTTCTAGAATGGCGCCTAGTAAATCACAGAGGTTCAAATTCTCAGCCCCTGAAAGATTTGGATTTTTTTCATTACTTTGATTTTTTTTTATCTCTTTATGAATTTCATGAGGGTAGGGACTGTACCTTCGTATTTTTCTTTGCCGTTTTGTTCTGAGGGCCTAGAAAATGCTCCAAGGCAAGAGCAGTGGGCGGGCAGCGAAGGTGCGGGAAAGTGAGTCCAGCAGGCTGGGCTGCTGTCCCTGCCGGAAGCTGACGGGACCGCCAGTGTGAGCCCCGTCCCCGTTCAGAGTGCCCGTCAGAAACCCGGCTGGCTGCCCCTTCCTCGACAGCCTGGTTGAGAGGACGATGACCTGTGTACTTGTGTCCCCACAGGTGTCCTCTCTCCCTCCCTCCCAGGCCGGGCCTTGCTCTCGCTCCAGCCACGGGCAGACCTGGCTCCGCAGAGCACACGTCCGCCCGGATCCCCCTCCATCTGGAAGAAAGCCATTTTCCGGGCACAGACTTGGGATCGGGCCTTGGGGGTCCCACTGAGGTCGGGGGGAGGCCAGAGCGAAGCGTGACCAGAGTTTCTCCTCTAAGGCCGGAACATCAGCTGGAACAAGTCAGTGGAATATCAGCCTGAACTTGAACTTCATTTTCTCTCTTTCTCACCCTCGGACAATCTGCCGCGTGCCGTGGATCACATCGCACGTCTGGCTGGAGATTTCTTCCACAGGAAACTGCCACTCAGGCGGGACGCGCTCGTGTTGTCAGCAGAACCGTCAGCCTCCTTTGGAGGGAAGGTCAACAGATAATTCCCAGCTTTGTTTAAAGCCTCTTTAATGGATTCTATGAAACGCTTTAATTACGCATGATTGTCCGCCGAAGTGCTTGCAAGCTTTTTAGGGCTTTTCGGTGCCTTTTCACTCTGTTCACACAGTTCAAGTTGTCTGATGTCCTTGAGCAAGAGGCAGCATTTCTTTTCTGTTTCTTTTTTCTTTTCTTTTCTTTTTTTATTTAAAAACCATGTAATTTGGAGTGTTTATGACGCACGCCAGCTTGCTTTCTTGTTGGTCTGCCGCAGAGAGTTTTTACTCTACTTTCCATCTGTTTCCATCTTGTCACCCGAGAAGAAATGAAATGCCATTTAAATGACATGGAAGTATCTTTCTCACCAAACACAGTATCATATAATCACCTTCCAGGGTGCACAGAGTTCTCACCTGCGTTGTTTCATTTGAGCCTCCCCAGGGGAGACCTGGGGACCCGGGTGGACTAGGGTCCCTCAGCTTCTGCACAAGTGACATATAAGGCCGGGTCGTTCTCTGTGGCCATCCTGTACACTGGGGGATGTTCAACAGCATGCATGGCCTCCACTCACTAGATGCCTAGACCCTCCCCTATCTGTGACAACCAAGACTGTCCAGAGACATTGCCCAGTGTCCCCCGAGGGGGAAAATCACTGCTGGTTGAGAACAGCTGACTTAGCCCGATTTCAGATAAGGAGACCAGGCCCCGTGATGGAGGGCTTGCTCGAGGCCCTGCAGGCGGCGTGCTGAGCGGGCTTGGCGGTGTCTGTGCCTGCAGCAGTGACACTCGTGGAAAGCCCTGGCCCGGCACGGGCACCAGGCTCTCCCCTCTTCTTCCCTGTGCCAGCCGCCCTGCCTCTCCTCCTGTGACCGTCGCTCCCAGCACAAACACCTCTATTCCGCAAATTTACCTCTAGGAGCTAATGTGTCTCACGCTTCTGCTCTTCTCCCTCCTAAGTTTCATATCCTAGGGGACAGGTTTGACACTTCGTCTGTTTCTCACCATGTCCGGCAGACTCTCTGGAGGTCCGTGGGCAGGGGGCCTGGTGAGCTTGCTCCTGCTCCCGGGTCAAGGCTGCCCCGTGCCTGGGCTGGAGAAGCGAGGAGGAGACCCACTGGGGCAGCGGAGAAGACAGACGCACTGGCATCTGCCCCCAGCTTGGAGCAGTTGTCCACATCTTGTCTGCTCAAACTCAGTTCAGGAACCGGAGCCACAGACTCAAGTTCACTGACAGTTATTTGTGGCCCCCCACTATTAACTGTTTTTCAAGCAGTAGCTAGCAGCAGTGTGGAGAAAATCATTATTTTAAGTGTTATTTCACCATTATTTCACCGTCCTTGAGGACACCGGGGATTTCACCGGCATTTCTATGCGGAGGCCTAGTGAAGGGGATTTTCCCCAGAAGTTGGTCCTAGAGCCTTTTAAAATAATCATTCTTTAAAGAATTATCTCCCTATCCATCACCGTTACTTCAAGAAAGGTACTCCCATTCACCATCCTTTCAGGAATAATTTTTTGGAGCTGGCCTTTGAGAGTGTCCTGAGATGACAAACTTTGACTGCTCTCTGTCTTTTCCTATCCTTTTTTGCTTTCCAGCTAAAAGAATTAACTTGAGTCATGTTACCATGGGAGTGGGGGGTGGGAGATTGTGTGTGTGTGTGTGTTTGTGTGTGTGTGTGTGTGGTGGTGTTTTTATAACACCAAGGGGAAAGGGATCCTTTAATCTAAGGTCGAACACATTTTGGAAATGTTGTATTAAACAAAGTGAAACAAGATTCTTTATTGCAGGACTTCTCAGAGCCTTTATGTGCTAACAATTATTCCACAGGAACATAGGGTGCAACATTTTCCAAAGTGATTTGACCACAGGACCCCTTTTCTTTTCCTGGAATATCTCATTTCACTGTCCAAGGATGTTTTCTGGGAAAAGTGTCACCCAGATATGAAAGTACATCTCACCCCACCTCGTGTTGGCCAGTTCTAAGATCACTTTGAAACTAATAAGGATGAGAAATTGTCAAATATGGAAGCCCACACCATCTCGTGGCTTAACGACTCTCTGTGGCTGGATTTTGAGCAAGACCCTGAAGGAGGGGCAATCGTCCTCACATGATGGGACGCTCCCAAAGCCGTGGGGAACCATCTCGGAGGAGCCCACCTCCCTGTCCACATCTGCGTCGGTGGCCATGGGGCTGGTACGGCCGGGAAAGGCGGGGCCAGGGGTGCCCAGGGGGAGGAATGCCCACCCTTACCCTCCGCCTCCTCCACCCGAGAGGAGAGGTAAAGGGGGAAAGAGTGCAGAGGGAGAAAGGAAAACAGAAGTTTCCATTTGTACCGGATGGTTTTGTTTTTTTATCTGTTTGCAAATGTTCAGTGTAATGGTTTGAAACCCAGCCGTGTAGCTGCTGCCACCCACACACGGAGCTGCCGTGGCACTGAGCTCCAGCAGGCGAACCATATCCCCAGCGTCGGCCATTACCCCCGAACCCACACCAGGGCAGGCTGCACACCTACCCCCGTGCCCCCTGTCCCCCCGACACCCACCGCCCGCACCCCCGACACCCACCACCCCCCCACACACAATTTTTCTTTTTTTAAATTCCCAGCACTCGGTTTTCTCTAGAGAAGCATAAAGAGAAGCAGAGGCAGAGATGGGACGAGCAGGGAGAAAGCTCCTGCCTCAACGGAGCCACCGACTTTCGGGAGAGCGCGGCAGCCCCACCTGCCTGTGGACTGACCACTGAAAGGTGAGAGAGGACTTTGTGATTTCTTTATGCACCTGGAGGTCTGGGAGGCAAGGCCAGGTGAAGGGATCTTAGTCACTGAGCCTGGTCTGCTGCCTCCCGAGTGATTCTATCAGGCAAGCATGATGGATGCTTCCTCCCAAGCACACGCAGTTATCTCTGACACAAGCCCCACTCCGGTCCCTGAGAGAGCTTTGGACCCAGGGGCCTCCTAGTCCCCCTCCTCCACCTTTCAGCACAGCCTCCTACCCTGAGATGTGGACGAAGGTGTGACCCTGCCTTTGGCTTGACCTGTTGATTTCCGACTAAGGCTGCTGCTGGCCCTTCCTGCCTAACGTGAGCAGTGACCCGCGCTTTGGGGCCATGTGGAATGGCTGTCCATCCAAGGGGCTTTGGGAGACCTGCTTCCCTAGTAGCCCCAAGCCTGCTAATCAGAAGCAATCAGACCCAGCTGTCCAGCTAATCTGTATGAAATAGGCTTCCTTCCTAGTAGAAATCAACAAAGTTTAAAATAGAAGGGACAGTGTTCGGAAACGAAGCGATAGAGTTCTGTGTGTGGTGCAACAGGCAGAGACCCCGGCATGGAGAATGTTAAGTACATGTTACATGGCTTGCAGACATGGGGGCCAGGAAGAGAAGGGATCTCCTGGCTTGCCGAGCATGCCTGTGGGGCGGAGGGTAGCCCAGTGGGGACATCACTTCTGGAAGGTTTAAACCTCTCAATAAGAAGGAGAGAAATAAATGAAGAACAACAAAGATGGAGAGAAAGACAAAAAAAGGCCATAATGTAACGTACATGTAGAAGAGAAGCAGATTAAAAAGCTCCAAATTCTGTGCAGTCAGGGATGAATCAGTTGGCAAAGATCTATTTTTAGTTTCCAAGATCTGCTGTTACATTTTGCCTGGCATTAATTAATGTCACAGGCATGTTTCATACACAGGTTCTGAAGGGCCTTCTCGTGTCATTCAAACCGGAGGTGCCGACCCTCACGTACGGGCACTTCCCAGTCCTTTGGGGTCTGGTCTCCAACACAAACATGTGTCCAGAATGTTCTGCTCTCTGACCTTGTCCTCTCCGGGTGTATCCGTTAACCTCCTGGCTCCAGCCTTTGGATGTCTGGCCACTGGCCAAGGGAGAATTGCAATTGTTATGCTTTGTTTTTCAAAAAGGAAAGGCTGTACAAGCTGAAATTGGAAAAAAAAAAAAAAAAGAAAAAAAAAAGATGTTGGATCATGGGTTGGAATTAAAAAAAAAGCTTTGGGGACAGCTCTCCCACCACAAGCAAGAAGAACAAGGCCCCCTAATCTCCAAACAACACTGATTTTGACAAAGTAGATTTCATAACCAGAGAACATCTTCCATTATAGTTTAGACAAAGTGTAGTATTTTAGCAGGAACTAATTATGTGACTGCGGTTGAGCATGTGTTGGCTGAAACTGTGGGAGAGGCTAATTACCCCGCCAAAGCCCGTTTGTATTGCAGAGGTGAGGCCGTGGAGCCAAAGGGCGATTTAAAACATGCGTTATCAGGAGTGCTACACCTCGCTTCTGGAGGTGACGGCTGGGGATAACAGGCAAGAAGGAGCAACTGCAGGCCAAGTGGTCATCGCACTGTTAGGACAACTGTTTTTGTACATTTGCAACAGTTATTAAGTCAACGAGAAAGCGCGAACGCATCATGGCCCCTAATTAGAAGAGACATCCCTTGTACTCTCTTAAATTATTCAGTATATTCTCCGACTATCCTAGAGTCAGGCTGAGCCATAGACTACTAGTTGAGCAGCGCCATTTGTCAAGACCCATGTGTGGTCTTTGTTTAGTTTGCAAGTCATTGTGGTTGGCCCATCTAAGGCAGAGACGCGGGAGATCTCTCCAGAGTAGTTTGGGAGGGTTTCCCCCATGCCTTGTGGCATGAGACTGGCCTGTGCTGAGGGGAGAGACACAAAGGGTGCAGATGAGCTCGGATGGCTACTAGCAAAGTAAGAATGGCTCCTACTGCATTTCTGAAGTTCTGAAGAAGGGTCAGAACAGAGGGTGTGTGCAAGCTGGAGGCTGGCCTTGGACCTCGTGTCATGAGGCCCAGTTCCATCCTCCCACTCAGACAGGTGTTCAGGTGTCCTACGCCCACCCATCTCAGACTCACGGGTCTGGGACAAGTCCTGCCCTCCTGACCACACCCCTGTATCTTAGACACTGTTACCGTATCCTTCCCCAGAGTATGTCCGCCCTGGGGGAGCAGGTGCAGGTGGGGCACCCTGGGCAGGGAACACTTGTGTTCAGCCCTCGCCAGGGGCCATGAGGGGTAGAGCCAGCAGATGGTGTCTCCATTGGTAGCGGGGGTCTCTGGCCTCATCCATTTTGGCTGCATCTTTGGCCACATGTACAGGGTGGGTGCCCATCTTGACAGGTCAGACAAGGCGAGTGGCTTCCAGACCCCTGCCATCTGTCTGAGTTCTGACCAGAGGATGCCACTAGAAAATCAACTGAAAACCAACCAGTTTCCTCTGGGGCCCAAACTGAGATTCCCTTTGCTGCGTTGTGATTTCTTTGAGCATGTGGAGGTCTGACAAGTGAGACCAGATGAAGGGATCTTAATCCCTGGGTGCAGTCTCAGTGGTGGAGTTCCAATGAAAGAAGCTGTAACTGTGGCCTGTTGCTGGGCTGTGGACGGGCCTACTCACATTTCTTTATTTAATCTTTGTCCTGTGAGGTTGGGCCCCTCCATTGCCATGTTATGGAGGGGGAATAGAGCCTTATATATTTTACTTTTTGTACTTTTTCTTAAAAAGACATGAATTTTGCATTACACTCTGTAACATATCCATTGATCTTACTATAAATAAGACTTCCCCCCAGAAAAAATCTTGAAGGAAAATTGTCCGTCCTGGGTGAGGCACATGTTTAGCTCTAGTGTCCATTCTAGAGTCTTGTGCACCCCGGCGTGAAAAGCCTGGGTTCAACTGAGACTGCAGAGCCATCTCACAGAATCACCCTGCACACGCTGTCTCTCACAGAATCCCTCTCACAGAATCGCCCTGCACACGCTCCATGCCCAAGCTCACACCTTTGCTAACCGTGAGTCTGAGTGAGTGGTGGAGCCAGGGCTCGAACTCAGGTGCCTGAGCCCTCTGCCTCCCCCGCTGCGGCCCCCCCAGCACAAGTAAGGGATGCAGTGAGGCCCCGGTGCCCCCGATGTGCTCTGCAAAGGGCCCTGTTGGCTGGTGTGCGTCAGCGGCTGCTGAGCTGGGCGCTGGAGGAAGGGCTGTCGGCCCACGCAGGGCAAAGGCCCTCCAGGGATCCCAGCCAGCCCCTCACCCCAGCCCCAGGGCCCCGCAGCCCCACCCGCAGGCCCCTCCACCCTGCCCTGACTCCCCTCGTCCTCGGTGACCACCCACGGGCCTCACATCCTGAGAGGAGCCCTAGAAACGGGCTGTGTTGATGAAAACACACAAACCCTTTGCCACAGGAAATGTGGCCTCACGTTCGAAATGATAACCACCGGGCTCCTCACAGAAACCAAAGAGGGACAGATTTGAGATTTCTAACTAAATTAGGAAACACATGTTCTCCCCCCACCAACCCTCTCTCCCGCCCTCCCTTCCCTCAACAATCTCGATTTACCTCACATGTGACCTCTGCCCCCCCATCCTAGATTGGGAAGCTGCACATTTAGGAAATAGAGACCATATTCCTCTGAGTTTAGGTAAAAACTGTGAGAAAACAGGATATTCTTAATAATAATAGAAGCCAGTGGGCCTCAGGTCACAGGTAGGGCTGTCAGATAAAATACAGGATGCCCAGTTAAAATTTGAATTTCAGGTAAACAATGAATTCTTTTTTTAGTATAAGCATGTCCCAAAGATTGCACAGGATATACTTATACTAAATAGTACCCATTGTTTCTTTGAAATTCAAGTGTAACCAGGCATCCTATATTTTTATAAATTTGCTACAACTAGTAACCATAGCACAGGGCCCACATACTGTCTGGGACTCAGAAACGCCATCTGTGAAGAGCATTGCAGCAAACTTCCCCTTCCAGACTTGATCCCTGCCCCTCTGGCAATGGGGAAACAGCCCACTGTGCTCCGGCGAGCCCTTGCTCTGGTCAGAAGCCCACATTTGTGTGCAAGGCCCCCTGCTTGGGTCTGCCCAAGGAGGGCTTGTCTTTCCTTATTGTCCAGGGGAGAAACTGAGGCCCAGGGAGGCTGTGTGACTCACCCGAGCGCTCAGTCAGCTCCTGGCCTGTCTCCCCGAGTAGTACTCGCTGGTGGTGGGCGGGTAGGCAGCCAGCTCCGGAGGAGCAGTAATGACAGGTTAGCTTGGAAGTGCTCTGTACTGAGATGGGAACGGCTGTGGCAACACATGCAAATTATATGCAAATACTCTTGGCCGCCTGGCAGGCTCACCTGCCTGGATGGGAGGCCCACGAGCTCAGCACCCCACCGTCCCTGGGCTCCCAGCAGCGGCAGGGGCAGCAGGCTGAAAGCTACTGGGCCCCAGAGAGGCCCACGTTCCCTGTGCATGTGGGCTGGGGCACACGCACACACGTGTTCGCTCCGTGTGAATGAGGATGCGAGGGGGCTGGTGTGGAGGTGGATGCGTGAGGCTAGGAGGGCGTGTTGATGTGTGCGTGACCTGCCACCGTGATCTGTGTATTCCCAGCAAGCCACATGGCTCCTGTCTCCTGGGATAACCTCTTTGGGGCTCTGCATCCCTCTGGGCATCCTCCTGCTGGGATGCCCCAGGATTGCCACCTGTCAGGAGAATAACTCTAACCACAGTGACACTACTGTCAGCATTTGCTGCGTGCTCATGACACACAGAGCCTGTGGTGAGCATCTTGTGCTGGATTCTCCCACGTGCCTGCGGTTCTTGTTGCCCTGACTCAACAGATGGACATGCTGGAGCTGAGAAGGGGACTTGCCCACAGCTGGCGAGACACCGAGCCAAGATTCAGTCTCAGCTGTAACTGACTGCCACGCTCTGCAGTTTGGGCAGGT